AGCTGCCGCTGCTGGGCTCCAGAGTCAGGGACGCATCTCCCGAGCCCCTCTGGGCAGGCGCTGGTGCCCTGTGGCCATCTGGGACATCCAGTATCTAGGGAGGGAGCGAGAAACCCCTGTCACCAGTGAAAGGGGTTTAACAGCGGCCATCTACAGAGAGCAGCTGCTTGGGGTGCTGGATCAGGAACAGGCAGAGCCTCCACTTGAGGGAACGTTCTGCGACCAGAAGGACATCGGCCCTTCCGTATCCTGCAAGGCACTTCAGTTCCTGAGCCGTCTGGGGTCACTTCTACACCTGCCCAGCACAAAGCAGCCTCTGGATGCCAGTCTGAGTGTCTCAAAGCCATCAGCGAGGTGTCACCTCCCCTGACATTACCACTGGCTGATCTCTCGCAGCACCAGCAAGTTTTCAGGAGGGAAGCCAGCAGCCACTGGACCCCATTTAGACAGTTACATGCCTAGAACGAACTAAAACTAGACACAGAGACGTCCCCCCGGCCAAGAAACAGCTACGGGCAGTGTCTTTAGAGGAAAGGATTTCCAAGACCACCCAGAAGATTCAGAGCAATCTCGTGACCGCCGCTTACCCGCAAAAGCTCTTCATCTCCCGGCTCCCTCACAAACGCCTCCTCCAGTTCCTGGTTTAGCCCTTCCAGGCTCCTGTGCAAGCAGGGGCTGAGCCTCAAAATGGGAGATGGCAAAAGGAAGCCTGAAGGAGAGTCCTGTAACAATGGAGAATCCGGGAAGTTGAGAGTCACATCTGCACCAACTCGGCAGTTCCAGCCCGTTCCCGGAGCTCTCCAGGGCTCAGGCAGAGCCTTCCCGGAGGCTGGCAGGAGAAGACGGACAGCAGAGTCCCGTCAACTCACCAAGTGCAGAGCAAAGCACAGGGGCGCGGTGAAGAGGTGGGAGAAGAGGAGGAAAAAAAAAAAGAAAATTCTCCCTTCTCAGGCACGAGAGCAGAAGTCCGAGAACAGCTTGGACACCCGCCCAAAGGAGCCTGCTCTCCACCTCCCCGGGACGCACGGCGACAGCAGAGCGGGGCGAGATGCGAACGTACCCTGAGCGATCCAAGGACAGCGTGGTCTCCCTGGAGCGGGGAGCTCTTCTCCTTCTCTTTGCCACTTCTGCCATTTAGCTTCGTTCGCTGGAGCTGCTGCTTCAGTTTGGCAATCTGGCAAACAAAGCTTCGGCTACAGAACCAGACAAGCCAACGCACCTCCACCAAAACGGATC